CCTAACATCACTCTATATGTATTCCCCATCTTCCGCTTGAATTTGCTTCGACATTCCAATGTTCACTTCGCTCTTTTATCCAAATGGGCAACCAAAACCGGCGCACGAAAGTGCATGATTAATGGTTGTAAAAACTGAAACTGAACTGAAACTCATTAATCAATAACCCCATTTAATCTCTTAACTGTGTTCAAAAGGAATTCTGGCTTTGAAGCTTCATAGTCTTAACAGAGGAACAATTTCTCGCAGTACATTCACGTAAATTGTTATGATTGGGTTTATCGGAAATGAAATGTCAATCATGTTAGGATATTCTCATTAAATTTAAGGTGACAATTTTTTATTAGTGGGTGAACATACAATATGACATGGGTAATTTTAAAATACAATAAACCACTATTTTTTGACAATTCTGATGGACGTTGGACACTTGTATCTTGAGGATTGAAACTCACGAGAGCGTCTATATATACAAAGATTAACAAGGGATATATTGATTTTAAGAATGGATTTGTTCCAACTAATCTTATGTTTAGCATTTTGCTAAGTTAAAGTCGTGACTTCCTTTCATAGATTAGACAGCATCAGACTGCCATAGCACAAATGCTAGCAATGCATGTACTGTACCTGCGGAGCTCTCAGCTCATATAATAATAAATAATATTTTTTCAATCAAGTGGTATTTTATCAAGTTATTCCTAGTTATGAAAAAAATGTTTTAATGCATTTTTTAGAATTTTATCTATTAATCTGGTTGATCTGGTTGACAATTGTCTTACGATAATTTTTGTCTTACATCGGTTTGATGAGTCATGTCTCCCATTGAGCGCTTCATATCTTAAACAGCTCCGATACATGCAGGTTGGTCGTTCCTTTTCAAGTTCGCAGGATGACAGTCCGAACTTGAATCAGCTTAATTCATTTCAAACCATATGCTACAAAACTACGGTCTATACAACTTTGGGTAACAGGAGTTGATCTATTATTTGTTTTTTTTAATGGAGTACGGAAAGGTTGCCTGATGCTAAAGAATTGAGAATTGACAATGGGGGATTTAAGCTGGCTAAAATTTCACTTGCAATGCAGCAGAGCGATATTTGTTCAGGCCACAACCTTATTTTCATTTTAGTTGACCTTTCATTCTTAGGACTTCGGTGATGCGTCCAACGTGTCCAACATACTTTATCGTCCAATGGAGTCGGTTAAAGTCACGATCAGCCTATCCTGAATATAGTTCGTATGCCTCCTAATGGGAACTTTGAACTCAAAATTTCCCTTTTCCCTTAGATTAAATAGCTGCCCGTGACACACCAAACAAGTTGTTGACGTTCCCGCTAAATGTATTGAAAATGTTTTCCTTCCATATGATATTTCAATATACTTTTCTTAAAGGGAGAAAAAATATTATCAATTCTAGGAAGTACGGAGTATTTTTGAAGGTGCAGGTAAATGGGACACTCGATCGACTGACGAAAAGACCCAACTTTTGTTGATGGTAATCATTGGTGACTGGTTTGATTCTTTTGCCATTGAGTTCATCTAGTCTGTTGTCTTACTGACTTTATGTGGAGTTCGCTTTTGGTAGCCTTACAACCTGTTGTTGATCGTTTGGAATATTCATAGTATTTTAAGGAGGTAGACAGCGATCAAGTATGTTTGGGGCAATTCTCTTGATTGTTAAGACATTCATTATCTTCGATTATAAGTTCGTTAATGTGAATGCACCACTGATGAGCTCTGTGTGGAGCGAAACTCGAGTCCAGTGCCTCCTGGCTGTATGGTTGCGTGGATGAACTGAGCGTTGCACGTGAAGATGAAGTCCGAAGAATGCCCAGTCTAACTCAGTAAATTGAATGTTTTCTGAAGTTTTTTGAATCTATACTAGCTAATTCGGCTTAAAAAACACTCTTCTATGCATTTTAGCTGCGCGAGATCCAGAAAAGTATTGCACTGCAGCGCGGGCCAGTAATCTTGAATCTGTCGACGAGTTGTGACTTTTATTTTATTGCCTTTTAAATAAAACGCCTTGCCGGGGACTCAGGAGTAATTCAAGCCTGTCTCAGTTTATTGGGATCTGCTGGTTTCAATGTCTGATATGCAGTTCTCGTGGACCTCTGCTCTTTGTGTCAGTCTTTATGGCCTCGGATCATGGATTACAGTGAATGGACTATGGGTTGAGCTACCAGTACTGGTCAATGTTTTGCCCGAAGGATGGAACTTGCCCGCATATTTGAGCATCCTCATACAGGTGTGTTTAGCCAGTATTTTGTGTCGTTTTCCTCGTCAATCAAGGAATATTAGTAGGTTGAACAATCAACTTAAAATAAAGTAAATTGTCATAATGAAAATTTTATGAATATGTGACATAATTGGAGTCTTCCTTTTTTGGATATCTGAGTTAGGAACTTTAAAGTTTAACTGAATTGTTTTGACGGACTTGTGACTATTAGTTCAATTTAAACAGAAGTGGGTTTATTGATGGAGAGGTCTTTGGACAACTCTCAGCTGAAAAAGACGTTCAATTGCGATGCTACAGCGATGGGTTGTTCAGTTTTCCTACTTTCGGTCCATCGCAATATTTCAATATCACTCAGGTGAGTCCATTGGGAAATGATAAATTCATGAAATTGCATCGTACACACTAAAAATTAAGGTACACGCTTGAGACAGCAAATGTGTTTTCTTTTAAAAAGGTATCATGAGCATGGTTCTGGTCAGTCGATTGAGTTCAACTTAATGACCCGGAGGACGTGTGCTCGGATCCCGGCAGTCCAACCTAACGTCCTCCCTTTTTGTGCATAAAAGCCTTTTGATTGACCGCTGCTCTCCAGGATGTTTAACCAAATAGTTTGATTTACATGCAGTAATCATGCGGTTTTTGATTTAAGAGGAACCTTGCCACTTAATGTTTGCAAAGAATATACTGTTTCGATTACAGCTTTCAGTTTACCTTTTGTTGTACTTCGGTCGTTTGGGCCTCTTGGAATGTGTATTGTCTCAGAGTGGAAACCCTCTTTGTATAAGCACAGTGAAGTTGAACAGCACAGAAAAAGCTTACTTCTCCGAAATCTCCGCCTCAAAAATTTAACTTTCCCTCCGATCAAGTGGTTTGAGTCACTGTCATTGGTGTGCGTTGATCCGAGTCCCCTTTGGTGGCAGGCAGCTTTGTTGTTGTTGTTGTTGTTGTTTGGCTCGATGCCACATCTCACCTAAACCAGGCCTTATGTGATAGCCCTAGGGCTTAGGTCGCCAGTTTCGTTGATTGAACAGCAGATCCTCAATAATATGCCGCTTACCCCCTTTGCTGTTTATCACAATAAGTTGTGTAATAAAAAAAACCTAAAGCGTTCTCCAAAAATCAAATGAATGTTCGTGTCTCTGTCTCTGGGTTTCTATGTTCTGCAACTGGACAAAGGTTTTCGTGACTTAATTATCCATTTTTTCTACTTTTGCATCGAGCTGAAGTTTAAGTGAAAATAAACAGAAACTTCCAGGGTGATATTTATATTTTTATATTCCTCTTGCATAAAATTTGATATTTGATGTGGCAAGTTTGGGTGGAAAACGGTCAAAAGTGGTCATACAAAATCCTGGTATGGAAATTTGCGAAGGGTTTCTTAACAGAAGAGAAGGATACTTGGGACCAGAAGGGTCATGGTAAGGGAAATAAACCGACTCACATTCATGGTTTAAAAATACTTTGACTACAGACCATTTCGCCCAAATGTTGATCACGCTGCGCCATCCCACATCAGGTGTACTAAACGTCCTGAAACATTCGGTCAAAGTTCCGTGGGACTGATTGCGTAACTGAATTTCTCCCATGCATGTGTCCGTCAGTCCAGTTTCTTTCGACAAACGTGTCTTCTAGAGAGTCCCGATAGGTATAAATTCAAGTAACGGTGTATTTGTCTTTTCTGTGTTATGACAAGTTGAGTAAACGATTTAATTTAGGTTTCTCAACAACTTTGGGCGTGCGGTAGCTGTCCAATAAAGTGCGAAGACTCCTCCTACTGTCGAGGGAAAGCCTCAGGTACGCTGCACTTATGTCCATGTAGTGGAGTATGTTTAGACCAGTAGACTACCCATCCCCGTGTTTATTTGCTGGAGTGAACTCTCCCCGGGCGAGAGTAGGTAGATAACTGAAGATAGGAGGTACCCAAGCAGCTGGCCTGGTGAGACTGATCTTCTTCTGGCCTCTACCCATTGGCCTTTCAGGCATGGTTGGATTTGCGGCTGTGAGGATCCATCCTGTATAGCTCGCAGTTTCATGGAAGCACGTAAGCCAGCACACCACGTCAAGGTACATTTAATGACATCCTATCTCGGCCTTTGTTTGTTGGTGCAGGTGTTCCACAGGGTTCCATACTTTCTTCTACCCTCTCTCTTATTTACTAACGTTCTTTTTTTCCAAAACATTAAATCCCATTCTCTGCTTTGGTGATGATGCCACTCCAAATTGTTCTTTTGTTAACCCACATCCCGTCAGGCCACTGTTAATTTCTTACCTCTGGTCTCGGACTCATTTATGTATAGAGTTCTACCAACCGCATGCTTTTTAATGCTTCCTTTCCGTTGCTCTTAAACATACCCTTTATTCTCCCTAACTGGTTTTCGGTACGCTCCCCCTTAGTTCCACAATTTCTCTCTCTCCCTCCCTCCTGTTTATCCATGAATTCCTTTCTCTGTTGGTCCCATTTTATTTCCCCACACTCCCTTCACGCTGCTTGCAAAGTCGGCTTCCCATTACGAGAAATGCACTTCTTTATATCCAAACCCCTCCTTTTGTACAAAGCTATATCCGCCCGATTGTCGAACACTGAAGTCACGTATGACATGGAACTTCGTATTCCGCTCTTTCTCTTCTCGGCCGTATTCAACAGAAAACCATCCGACTGATCGGCGAACCGTCTTTAACTTCCGATCAGCAGTTGCTTCCCATCGCTCGGCAGTTTCTTCTCTATCTCTTTTCTAACGTTGCTATTTTGGTTTATGCTATTCTGAACTCCCTTCAGTGGTTCCCCTCCCCTTCTCCTTTTCTCCTTCATTTCGTTCTCCGCTGGGCAGTCGGGTTTCTGTTTCCAGTTGTCGGACTTCTATCTTCCAGTTATTCGAAAAGTTATGCCTCGGAAGTACGTTTCAAGTCACTGACGTCACTGTACTCGCTTATCTCCGGTGTAGTGAGGATCTAAAATGAAATAAGTACTCCGTTGGTCACCCGTAGTGGCGTTCTTCAAGGGTGCCCTATTTCGCGATTGCTGTTCGATTTTGTCGTAGACGAGGCTCTGAATAACTTTTTAAGTAATCTCCAAAACGTAGATATCAAATGTTCAGCTGGTAAAAGACTGCGATTTGGAGTTCGCCCATGACATCGACTGTCTGTACGAATACATGAAGAACGCACAAAGCTTACGTGCTTGACTAACAACTGCTATTACTGTATATGCTAAGTGCTTTGAAACTTCAAAGTGTGAAGTGATGCTGCAAAACTAGGTGTCACCTAGTTCCACTTTGAAACTCAATGACCAGGAATTAGTTAAAGTGGATTACTCTTCTTACTTCGGTAGTTGTGTGCCAGGGATGGTAGCGGAATAACGGAGATAACCGCTCACATTTCCTAGGCTCGAGCAGCGTAGTCAGCACGGAAACATCTTAGGCGTGGATCCGAGGTTTCGTTGAAGTTGGAAGGTTGCGTATTTTTTTTGCCGTTCCTTCACTTCTACTTTATGATTGCGAGACCTTGAGTTTGTGAGTAGGAGATATTCATCAACTAGAAGTTCTTGATTATCGAGATGTACGTAGTTTGGCTCACTTAGGATCGAACGAATGGGTTAGCTATCCGGAGGTAAGCTGTCGTTTGTTTGGGAGATCATTAGTCTTCGCTGGTGAGGACACGTATTACACATACCCAGCTGTCGTCTGCCGCACCGCGCCTCATTCGCTGTAGGCGCTCAGGGATGCAGGAAAACCCGTGGAGGTCAACAGATGTTGTAGAGACGAGGCATGAAGAAACGCACAGTGAAATTATTTAGAGTAAGTGTCTCGTGCATCCCCGTTAGGGTTCCGAAAGACTCTGCAACTGGTTGGTTGGAGACATTGAAGGACCTGACGGCGGACCAATGGCACTGGCGTTCTTGTTGTCATTTCTTATCAGGTCAGAATTCTTGAAACGATATGTATGCACAGTTAGGTTTTGTACCCTGTGTGTTGATCATAGAGGTTCACCTCTTTCCCCTCCTTCAAAATAGGTCCAATTCCTGTCCACCTTAAATATTACCACTAGCGTTGCATGCATTGCAAGTTAGATAGCAATCAGTGAAGTTCGCTTCACGGTATTTCGCTTTACAATGATATTGATGATCACGCTGCTGAGGAACTTGGCTCTCATCTGACTGTTCCCCCACATACCTTCTCCTTTACAATATATCATTGACTGTGGAGTTTACCCATTTTGCTGTAAATCACTTTGCATGTAATCAAAAAATCATCACAATATAGAACTTAGTTATTATGAAATCATAGAGGTTTAAATTCATACAACAGCAAAGGTTTTAGGTCGAAAATTACTCCATCTGCTCGCCTAAGGAGTCCTCCGTGACAGAGAATGATAGTTGGATGGCAGGCTGTAATTCTCGTATGTACTAATTTGTATCGAAATATATTTGGGAAATGGGATATAAGTTTGACAGTACTGTGTATTTTTGCTTCATGATGTGCATCATAGATCGCTTTTTTAAGCAATTCACAAGTTTTTATATGTCTGGTTTGTAGACATCTTTCGTTGCTGGATTTCCTAATTTATCTCAGTTTAACCTTTATAAGCTATTGATTGCTTTCTTGTTCTAAGAATGGCAACCTACCATAAACTGGTTTTCTGAGGGTGCTTAATACAACATGTTTCCTCTTTGTTTCATCCCTCTGCAAGTCAGATAGCAAATCTGGGTCCCTTAATCTATGTGCCCCTGACGAAGATCTGTCGTTCCACAGGGCACGGATTCTGGGCGTCGTGTATTCAGCCTCCAGAGCGTCTGGCCAATTACACCATTCTTGTAGTCGGTCTGCTCTCTTGCATTTTATTGGCCAAGTTTTGGAATGTAAGTCCTTATTATATAATGAAGGTTTTACTCTGCTTTAATCTTTTACTGAACGTATCTCACGGTCTCATTACTCATATTTTGTCGCTTTGCTCTTCCACAGAATGAAACAAAAATAACCGAACTATCTTTGATCAGAAAAAAAAAACAACCAGATAAAGTGAATCAGTAAAGGTCTGTCGGTAGTGAAGGTCACCGAGCTGAGGAGACCCCGGTTGAACGCTCAGTGCCCTAGGGTGTTCACAAATGTGTACATGTTTTAAGGGGGTGCGAATCTGAGCCAGTCGATTATCGACGAAGGGTGTGATTTGGAGGATTTTTATGAATTCACTAGGTCAATCTGTGAGCCATGAATCACTTGCGGTAATGTATGAATACACTCGCCAACACTCATTTGTTGAAAAGTGTCGTTAATTCCCGTGGCTTAGCGAAACCCTTTCGCTCAATCTAAGGAGTCTCACATACTGCACTGTCAATCCTGTGCTATCTTTTGTCATTTATTTA